AACGTCGCTCATGTGTCTGACGACCCAGACAAGCTCAAGCTTCCGAGAATTCGCCGAGTGCCTCTTGAGGCTTATCAAAGCCGGAAGAACGTACGTCACTCCAGTACCACCAGCAACGCAGAGAATGTTGACATCCGAGGTAATATTTCGAATGATTGGGTCTCCGTATGGCCCCGTCAGTATCACTGGCGTCGTGGGCGCAGTATGTCCCTTGTCGCCGGAGAGGGCGGCGAGCTTTCGTGCGGCGATCTCGGCCACTTTTCTGGTCTCGCCGCCCTTGGCACGGAAAATGTACGAGTGCTTCGTCTTTCCGTTCACCGTCAGGGGCGCGTTAAGGGGAGTGAACGGGTGGGACTGCCAAATACTGCTTTCGGGGAAACACAGATAGAAGTGCTGACCGATATGCCACGCGTCATGGGGATGTTCGAAGTCGAGACGGACGACATCGCCGTCCTCCGCGTCCGGGAAAATCGTCAAGGCAGTCTGGGCAGCAGAGAAGCCCATGCCCTTGCCCTCGATGAAGTTATGGTGTAGTAGAGCCGTTCTGATACCACGGGCAGCGCGATCCAGGAACCAAAGAACGAGGGACGGAATCATAAAGCACTCGAGGTTCTTCCAGTGACCGATACAAGCTCCAATGTAGAGCATTGCAAGAACATAGTGAGACTTCCGGAAGAACTCATATCCCGTCAGGCGAATAACCGGAGGCAGACTTAGGACGTAGAGTGCCATGAGGAAGAACAGGGCGATGCAGCCCCAGATCATATATAGCTGGGAGATCCACTCATTCGCGACTGACGGTTGAGGCTGGTACAGTCGAACTTCGACCACTAACCACGCGATAGTATGCAGACTTGACTGAATAACGATAATGTATCCTAGCCAGCGGTGAAGGAAGTTGAAGTTCTGGTAGGGGACTCCGGTGAGGAGAGAGAGAATCGACTCTCTGGTAGCAAAGAGGACGGTCAAGGGCGTGAGAGCGTAGGCAAGGATTCCGAGACGATCAGACCAGGGGCCGAGAGTAGTTCGAGTGTTGTAGACCCCTGGCATTTTCTTGACGGGCGTGACCCAAGTGGTATAGATCATGCCGACGAAGGAGAAAACCAGAAGGTAACCAGCCAATACGGTCAGGATTAATACCTGAAGACGCGTGGTGCGTCCAAAGATGGGTCGGACACAGTCGGGAAGGAGATAGCGGTTGACCGCAGACGAGGTAGCTTGGCGGAGGCGGTTGACGAAGCTCTTGCTCGCGCGGGTGTCTTCTAAGAGGGCAGCACGAAGGACGTCTTCCTCGGAAAGGGATGGAATAGCCCGTCTTCCAATGGCCCAGATCAAAAGAATGCCGCCAATGATGATCCATAGAATACCAACGTATAACATACCCCGGTCGTGAGAGCCGTAAACAAGATCGAGATATGCGCATGATCCAGCATCGTTGGTACAGGGGACAGCTCGGTCTGCATAACCCCAATGAGGCTCTAAGGACGAGGCTTCGCTGAGGTTCTGAATATGACGAGCTGCCAACTGGCTCCTAAGATGAGAGTCCATTCTGTGAGAGACGCCTAGCTTGTCGATAGGTCGGCGCCTGAAATGGGGGCAAGCTTGCGAGACGTCAGCGCTCAGCGCCGTCTACGTAGGTTGACTTGCAGCGCAATGGAGGATTGCATAAAGAACGAGGCCGTTCGTGTGTCGCTCTGCCGTCGCGAAGTATTGCCGAGGGAAGAAGGCTTGATGGCGAGACAGTGAGGAAATAGGATGACGATAATCGAGCGAGGACTATGCTGTATTGCCGATGATGGTCGTGGCGTGGGAAAAACCTAATACGGGACCTGTTGGTCGTTCTGGGACGAGAGACTTTGAGATGATGGTGGATCAGACAGCGACGTCCGGCGACGCATTTCTCTTAAGGCCTAGAGGACGATGTGGCAACGGAACTAGGTAAGTATCGTCACATCCTCTGCATGGGAAAAACGGGACGACGCGGGATTTGAGAGAGTTTATGGGGTTGGTTAGTTAATGTAAGGGTCTTGGTATGTTTCCGGTTTGGGGCGGTTCCGCGGTGTTTCGATTCGGGATGGGAAGCGGAGCTGTCTGGATAGCCAGATGCCCCATACTAGGCCGCTTCGGCGGTTGTTGAGTTTCTTTTTGAGCAAGTTTGTGTATCATCAAGGATGGGAGAGCCATGACGAGCCAGTTGGCTAAGGTCCAGACCCAGGCTTGAGCCCGCGGCGAAGGGAGAGACAGGGTCTGGCCATTGCGAGGTCCATGGATGAAAGCCATGTGGTTCTGGTTAGACGCAGAGCAACAGCGGGGTTTATTCATCCAGATTGGCGTAAACGGACTATGCAACCACACAACGAGAAAATCAACCATCAAGCCACTACTCCCGCACGAATGCCATGTTTTTCTTCTACCCTTAATGCCATGTTTTTCGATGAAAAAGCCGAGCATTGGGTTGGGCTCGCGTCCTCGCTGAGCAAGACTTGAGGCCATGTCAATCGCATTAGCGGAGGATCGACTGAGACACTGAAGAAGCAATATCCGGCTTGGGACTGACCGTAATGAAGCAGGTGAATCCACAGGACGCACTGATCTGTCGCTGTTGGTCTTGAGATGGGAGCCAAGAAGTTAGCCGACCCGATCCAGAGACACGGAACTTGGAGTGAAGGAAACGTGGAATGAGCAATTCGAGATGAGCATCTTTGAGCAAGTTTCTGCCGGAAAGCGGGCCCGGGCCGGGGGCATTGATCCACTAAGGAGGCCGGGGCGGGGGTGGCACGGACATGGGGAACACTGAACAGGTGCGGTTGCAAGGCCCACCCCACCAAGTTGTTCTCCATAGAAGAAGTTGAGGCTCACAGCGCATTGCTTCTTGCACCTTGATAGCATCAATAAGGGATCTGCCAAGATGCGCCATGCTAAATTCCTGCCCCTACCACTCTGCTCTGATTATCCCATGGTGATTGAGCAAGTGCATCGCGCTACATTTTTCAATTGCAGTTTGAATTTTCAACTTTGAAGAGGATGCCCGACGGGAAACGGTACCCACCAGCATCCATCCACGGTTTTTCGTGGTACCTTTTCCGTACTATATGGAGGTATCTTACGCAGTTGACCTCGGAACCGGCTTAGCGTGAGCAAGTTAGAGGGTCCCCTCCGCGCTCACCTCACGGTGGCCGGTGGCAAGTCAACTTGGCAATTCGACTTGGCAAAGCACCTGTCACTGCCACCTCAACTCTGATTTCTCTGCCACCAATCATAAAGTCACTTCTTTGCTTTGGAGGCACGTCAACTCTCCAGTCCCAAATCTGGACCCTTGTTCCCGCCCGTCTTGAAACCTGCGCACCACTTGCCTTCCCAGGATCGATCCCCCCCACGACCCAGAGCTTGTGGTCGCGTTTCCCACTGTTCGGTTCGCTCGAACCCAATGCATGTCTGCGGTGCTGCCGAACTCGCCCGTGCATCTTTCCTCTCGTTGCGGGGCAATTTAACCCTCTCGCTCACCCTGCACTCCAACTTTCCAGCCTTCCGTCTTCGCATAGATAATAAGCCACCCCGGCCCGGACTCCTGGCTACGGTGCTAGACGTGTGAGCTGCCACCGTCCCCGATCGAACTGCGCTTTGCTACCACTCAGAAATCGAACATCGCAGCCTTCTGGGGTTGAAGTTCCTGCAACATCAGAATCGACACGCCACGATAATAGTGCCACAGACCTCGGAGCATAATGGATCACAGCTCCATGAGCAGTTCCTCGGCGGACTGTAAGATGTCTATGTTGTGGAACTGGTACACAGTCGACGCTTGTGCGTATAACCAGCCAATGAGGACTGATTGCATAGCCTGCCTTATACAAGCATGCTCGCAATTTTGTGACATCTTTGGACGAATTCTTGCTGACCTTTGTCGCTGGTAGGCTTTCTTGCCGAATCGTGGCAGATCAAAAATGCCGGCATGTTCGCTGCCAGCTGTATCGGCGTTGGTCTCCTCACCGTTTTCCTCGAAGTCTTTCGCAGATTGGGCAAAGAATACGATGCCCTCATTCAACGCCAGTTCCAAGCACGCGCTGCTGAGCTCCAAGCTCGCATCCCGAAAGAAACCAATTGCTGCGACCCTCCCGCTGTCGTGGCGCCTCAGACGCTCGTCTTCCGCGCATCCCCCCTGCAACAATTTATTCGCTCAATAATTCACGCTGCCACCTTCGGCCTGGCCTACATCGTCATGTTGCTGGCAATGTATTACAACGGATACCTCATCATCTCAATCATCATTGGAGCCGGCCTGGGCAAGTTCCTGTGCGACTGGCTTGTCTGCCGCATCACCCTCGACGCACCAACAGCGCCAGGTCCAAAGGCTCCAGGCATTGAGGAGCCAAGTGTGTGCTGTGGCTGATAAATCCTGCTACTCTACATATCGTATGCATCTTTTCAGCGGTGTTGTGGCGCATCATCATAAGGCATTGTCGCCTTGCGATCGGTCAGGCTCGGACGGGGGACTGGGAAACCTTTTGCTGTCTAATGCTCAGCAGACACTAAGGTTGGCTACGAAGCAAATAATGAATATATACCCTTTTTTTTATTGGCAAATGCCTCGGCGCAACCTTGTTGTTGTATCATAGGACTGTCACCCCGTCAGATCCTTAGTTGCCAAATCTCCACTACGCAGCATCCGCGCGTCCCAGACTAATAGTAACACAACTTCAAAACGATCAAAAGCTTTGGCTTCAAATACCTGGCTCTTCGATTTCTCAACAGTTGTAGCTCAACAGCTGTAGGAACTGAGACCAGTCGCCCAGGGTCCAAGACAACCGTGAGATCCGTCATTATCATACATACTTGCATAGTCCATCCTTGGTTGAGTCACAAACACAAACCAGACAGGTATCGGGCTAATGCAAGAACTAAAAACATTACCTGGCCATGCATTACGTTGCCAGAACAGCACTCACATAGCAGCACGCTAATCGAAAACCACCCCCCTAATTCCAATGTTCGGGTTTGATTCATGTGAGAAACTTAGCTCCCTCCTGCTTAAAGAGCCAGTCGCTGTTCGCGTCCACCATGAAATTCGTAATGTTGAATTCGTTGCCCGGAGGAGCTGGTCCGCTGGAGCCGCCGTTCTCGCTGTTTGCATCAACCCCTGATGATGCTCCATTTTGCCCACTGGGCCCGCCAGCCGCATGCTGGATACTGGCGATGTTCTCATTGCCCACCGGCAAACGTGGCACATTGAAGAAGTCAAAGACATCCAAATACTCGAGCTCATTAGGCGCCGGTGTTCGTGCCGGCGTAACGCTTGGTAAGCGGCTGTGGTTGGGCACCCCGTTCGCACGAGGCTGCCGCGAAATCAGAAAGTCGAGGTCAAAAGCCGTCCGGCGCATGTCAGCTAGTATCTTGACTGAGCTCGGGGTGACGCCGTCTCCCTGTCGCTCGCTGTCGCGGTGTTCGTCCAAGACGCGTTGAAGAAGGCCGCAATAGCGCGCTGCCACTGGCCAATATCTTCCCATCTCGCGAAGGGTTTCCACGAAAAACTGAATTTGAGGCGAAAGTTTGTGTTCTACGGTTGACCCGTGGACTAAAAGCAAACGAGAGGCCACCCAGAGTGTAAATGCGAAAGGGGGACCCAGCTTCGCCAGCAGGCCATTGTTCACGACGAACTCGCCCAGTGCGGCTATGTTCTCGACGGCGCCGTGGCATCTCTGTGAAGCACTGTAAGAGGGGGTGAATATAGGAGACCGGGTGGTTGGATATGCCGCTGACGAGTGCAGTCGGATGACTGCTGTATGGTACGTGGCGTGTAGCATGACCCAGCCACAGTTGAGCATCTTGTTGCCGGGCTGGAATAGTTTCGCCATATTGCCGTATTCACCGGGGAGACCGAATTTCCACGATGTGAGCATGTTGTCCAACTCCTTGTACCGCATTTGCCACTGCTCAACATCGCTCAACGCACTGATATCCACAGGCTGCTTCAAGAACTTGTGGATCTTGGAGAGGATGGCTAAGATCTCAATGTAATACGAGAAAGCACCGAGATTCTCCGGCTTATTGATGTCATACTCAGGGTTCGTATCCTCAGGATGGTCTTGCGTACGAAACCACCGCGTCTCAACCTTTTGGTTCTTGATCCACAAATCATCTCTGCAAGGTAATGTGCGGTCGATTTCTTTATCATCAAGTGCGAACTCGAAGGCGGTTGCCAATGTGGCATAGCGGTCCAGAAGATATATCATCCAGAAAAGCCGCCGTCGTGACTCTTCTTCGATGAAATCCTTTGGCTCCGGGAGAATCATGGCCCTCAGTGTATAAATTGATGTAAAGTTGGGCGAGACTGAGAAGGATGTGCTCTCAACAGCCAAACCCAGTTGCACGACCGATCTTGTGATCAAAGCCATGATATTCCACCCTGGCGGGCCATTGCTGCTCCCTACTAGATCGAGGGCCAGAATCACCAACGCTTGGAGAGCCTTGACCGAAGAATTTTCCATGCCATACAGCAAGACTCTTTGTTTGGATATGGAATGATAGTGCTGCCGGCTGTCCTCCGTGAGTCTCGAATCGGTTGAGTAGCGCAGGGTGGTGGCTACGATGGCGTGGAGAAGGATGCGATCGGTCTCTTCGAGAGTGGAGGGTCCGAATAGGGAATCAAGAGTCGATTTCCTGTGCAGAATCGGGCACCATGTATTGATGTGCTTGAAATATAGGTCTACAAGGGCATAGAGCAAGTCGTAAGGTGGAAGCTCTTGATCTGGTGTAGTTGAGGTCTGACTCTGGGCCATTGGAACGTCTGGCGAGTGGAGTTGCGTCTGGTTCGTGCCGTAGTACTCTTGAGCCGCACTGCTTGGATGGGACATGGCAGTCACATGGCTCGGAGGTGCGGGCATACTGCTCATGGGCATCTGTCCCTGAAATTCATGCATTGAAGGCGTCGGGGGAGGCATGCCAAACTCCATGGACTGCGTTGAGGGTGGATAAGTGGACGGCTTTTGCAAGAAGAGGGCAGTCTCGGCCTGTGGCGTCCTGATCGACTCTGACGGGCGAAACAAATTCGCGGCTTCCCGTGGAGTGCCGTGGTCACTGGGTAGACTTGGGTTGCTGTTCCGTATACTTGGCGCCGTGCCATTGTGTTGGCTGGAGGTCAGAGTTGCTTGAAGGATCTCGGCATGCGCTCTGAGGATTTCCTCGAGCTTATCCAAGCGTTGCTCAAGTTCCCGGCCGTAGCCTGCGCGAAGTCCAGGCTTCTTACGCTCCTTGTATTCGCAAAGAGCACCATTGCGACTACACCAGCCGCAGGAAGGCTGGCCACGGTCGCATTTTACCTGTAAAGCCGAGGCCGGTCAGCTGCAGCGCCCTTGCGTCTTCCGACGGATGCCTATAAGGCCGCAAATCAAAACGAATAACGCGGTGTACACTCTGAGCTTGCCAACACTAAGGTGGTAACGAAAGCACCACGACGGAGGATCGAGAAGAAACTGGGGACAGCAACTGTGGAGGTGGGTCAGGGGGAAATGGAGGGGAGCGGAAAAGGAAGCTGAAGTGGACGCAACGGTACCTTTCTTTGCTTGCACAGCTCGCACCTTGGAATTGGGTTGTTAGCTTCGGTATTTTGCTCGGAAGGCACATGCTCTGGAGATGGTGACATGGGGAAAACGGGGACGGCCAAGAACAAGGGACATATCAGAGACAAGCAGGCGGGTAAGAGCAGGAATGAGGCGGCGCGGTGTGTGGGGGGGGGGATATCAGACAGAGAGGCGAGAAAGGTATTCAGAAAACAGGCAAGGCTCTGACTTGGTTTAAACAAAGACAAAGCACAGTAAAGGTAGGGCAGGAAGGACGGAGCAGAGCGAGTCCGGGACGGCCAACCTAAGCAAGGTTGTTGTTGGGCAGTGACGGGATCGGGATAGGGATAGAATGGAGACAGGACGGAAGGAGAAGCAAGTGGACGGGCAAGGGGAATGGAACGGAACAGAACAGTGAATGACTTACGAGACAGATATGGGTCTCTTGCGCTTCCCAAGACGGGTAACATCCTGATCGTCCTGGTCGAGATCGTTTTCATCAGCACTATGCAGCTGGTTGCCGTCGTCAGAGTCCTGGTCGTTCAGGGACTGGCTCTGGAATTGGGTCTGCGACTGGTTCTGGTTCTGACTCTGGAGGGACTTGGTGGTGGTGTTGGCTGCAGGCGGTGACCGGCTGCTGAGAGCGTGTCCGCCATTGTGCTGCATCCTCAGGTGCGCGGGTCGGATGGGCGACGCGACGCAGCGCAAGGCAGTCGTCGGGTGCGCGGGTGCAAGGCAAGGCAAGGTAAGATGCGTGGTTGGGTACGACGCGCGCAGCGAGGGCGGCGAGTTCGCTGGAGTTGCAGGCGTTTGTGCGATTCGCAACGCGAACTTCGGTAGAAGCTTGGGAAGCTCGGGGTAATGTTGAGCAGAGGGTGGGAAAAAAAGGGCACAGGAACAGGAGGCTGGCGGAGGGCAAGAGGAGGCTCGGGGTATTTTTGTTTTTCGTCCCACACGTGCCGCAGGCCGAACAGAAGAAAATGATGTGACAACCCGGGACCGCAGCAGTGGACAGACTGCCTCAGACGGACAGGACAGGGAATGGAATGGCGGCGAGGGAAAGGTGGATGGGGGAGGGAATTCGGGGGAGGGGAAGCGAAGCGGAGAGGCCCGCGAGGGGTGCGGAGGTGAGTGTGGAGGCGGAGAAGAAACGGGCGCCTCGGATTGGACAGACTCTAACAGATGGAATGCCAAAACCGCAGTGTGGTTGGGTGTACTACCTTACCTATGGTACCTTACCTACCTAGGTAGGGTAGGTACGTACCTACGCAGTAAGCATATTGTGGAGGCCACGCGGACAGAATGTGGAGGTGGCTTGAGATGCGTGATCTAGCGGCTGCGCCAGGCCGAGGCAAGAAGATTCCATTGCCTACGACCACACTGCAGTAGCATAAACGGCAGGCTCCACGTGATCAATCACGACATAACACACCTGTGTCCGTCGTCGGCGATCCGCCGGCGCCGGGCAGACCTGGAGTCGTGGTGCGGAGACGGCTACCGGAGCGCCGGCCTCCCACATCGGGCTGCGACCGGAGTGCTCCGCAGTGGAGGAAAGCACCTGTTAATGCCTCAGGCGAAGCAGCCTAAGGTAGGCCCGGACTAGATCTCGGCCAGAGTTGTCCCATTCCCCGAAAGCCTACTGTCACGAGACCACGGCTGGGATTCGTACGGAACAGAGCTCACCCGAATTGACTCTGGGAGCAACGTGGCGCGGCCTTTCCCGCTCCACGCAACCCAACCAGGATTGCTGTAGTCGAGCCAGAGACGCAGACTCATCCACCATCGCCTTCCGCAAGCCCAGGTATACATCGAATTGTCCGATTGGCGAGCGTCTGCAGGGCAGTTGGTCGAGCCTTGTGCCACTTACTCGATTGAGTTCGTTGTTGGTCGAGTAGAGAAGCTTGTGTTCCATGCCGAACTCAGCGCGTCTTTACATCCGTCTGAACGACATCAGCTGGTCATATCCTTCAAGTTGCTGCCCACGCCAGCAGTTGAATCACTTCCAGCCTAAGGCCCTCACTCAGTGTCCATGTCTACCACCACGTCCGAGCCCGGCAGACGCACGGAGAGGGAAGGACTTCATACCTAAGTACACTACAGTGGAGGTAAGGAGGGGCCTTTATGCCTTGGGCGTACGCTGGAGCTTCCGAACCCCCATGCCGAGTGTCAATGGATTCCGCCTGTCGGGACATCTGACACCGATCTCCAAAAACCTTCCCGTCCACCGCTCGCTACCTCAGTCAGTGAGGCAGCACGAGTTGAGTCCACGAGACTCTCGGCCCAGCCATGTCTTCTTTACCCCCACTAACCTGATCGTGTTGCCGTTACCGGTTTTGCCCAGTTGCTTCTTGCCTGGCCGCGTAGGTTCCGTCGTCTGATTAGCTGTCTCTTTTTTTTTTTTCCTCCCCTCCCTTCGTATCCAGCTCGGCTTGTCTGTTTCGTAAGCCCGCCCGCATACCGCATGGCGTCCTCCTCCAATTATTCTTAAAAAGACGCTGATATATTTTCTCTTCCCCTCACAACTTCTTCCCTCTCAATCGCTTTCCCAACCGCATCGTGGCTCTCGTAACTGTCCCTGCAGCGCATCACTCCCTCCTCACCACCACTTCCACCCCCTCAGCAAGAGCCATACAGTGGGTGACACAATGGCGTCCGTGAGGTCATTCCCCTCCATCAAGGAGATTCGGACCTTCGTTATTGGCGGCGTCGGCTCCGGAGGCGACTACCACAATGTCAAGGGCGGCCACTGGTAAGCTTCTCACCGCGTCGCTCCGACTGCAGCGGTACGACGTGTCACAGAAGCACGACTGACACTGATTCTCAACAGGTTGATTGACAGCCCCATCTCCACGCCTTGCTCGCGATGGGAGCAATACCGCAATTCCAGAACGAGTTGGGGCATCAACGTGCTGGGCTCGTTCCTCGTCGAGATTGAATCTTCAGATGGCACCGTTGGAATTGCTACTGGCTTTGGAGGTAAGATGGGTGTATCCGCGACGCCTTTCTCGGGCGAGACAACGGAGAAGTTAACTTGCTAACACACGATGCACAGGTCCTCCGGCTTGCTGGCTCGTCCACCAGCACTTCGAGCGCTTCCTCATCGGTGCCGATCCACGCAACACGAACCTGCTGTTCGAGCAGATGTACCGAGGCTCCATGTTCTACGGCCGCAAGGGTCTGCCCCTCGCCGTCATTTCCGTCATTGACTTGGCCATTTGGGATTTGCTGGGCAAGTTGAGAAATGAGCCTGTCTACAGACTTATCGGTGGTGCCACCAAGGAGCGACTCGATTTCTACTGCACCGGTCCTGAGCCGGCTGCGGCCAAGGAGATGGGCTTCTGGGGCGGCAAGGTTCCTCTCCCCTACTGCCCAGATGAGGGACACGTTGGGCTGAAGAAGAACGTCGAGTTCCTGCGCAAGCACCGTGAGAGCGTCGGCCCCGACTTCCCAATCATGGTAGACTGTTACATGAGTCTGAACGTGCCCTACACAATCGAGATTGCGAAGGCGTGCGAGGACCTTAACATCAACTGGTGGGAGGAGTGTCTGTCCCCCGATGATACGGACGGCTTTGAGCAGATCAAGCGGGCACACCCGACCATCAAGTTCACAACGGGCGAGCACGAGTACTCACGGTTCGGGTTCCGCAAGCTTATCGAGGGCCGCAACCTCGACATCATCCAGCCCGACGTCATGTGGCTCGGTGGCCTAACAGAGCTGCTCAAGGTTTCGGCGATGGCGTCCGCCTATGACATTCCTGTTGTCCCTCACGCCAGTGGCCCGTACAGTTACCATTTTGTCATCTCACAGCCCAACACGCCCTTCCAAGAGTACCTGGCAAACTCCCCAGATGGCAAGAGCGTGCTTCCCGTGTTCGGTGATCTCTTCCTGGACGAGCCCATTCCCACCAAGGGATATCTCACAACGGCAGACTTGGATAAGCCTGGCTTTGGCTTGACGTTGAACCCGGCCGTGAGGTCAAAGTTGATTCCAGGCAAGGCGCTGCTCAGCACCAACATCGTAAGAAACTAGCTACCCACCCACACGCGATTGTAGCAAGACTAACAGCAAGATAGGAGAGGCCTTTGAAGACGGCAGAGGAGCAGGCGGCTGCTAACGGCACGAATGGCGCTTGAAGTACAAGGAGACAATAGAGGCTCACGGCATGCACGGTCATGAAATATAGAGGCGAACGGTGGTGGAGCGCCGAGTATTGTTCTCGGCAGGGAGCCATTGCAAACAAGACCCTTAGGATAGTGCCGTAACCGGCGGCCATCTCTCATAATGCTGTAGCAATGGAAACGAAATGGATGTTTATGACGGCTCACTGTGTTCTTCGTTCTCTATGCCCTCGGTCTCTGCCGAATTTGAAATCAGAAATGTGACCTGATCTGGACAGCCAGCAGCAGTCTAACCATGGCAGTGATTGCGTGGCTGAGAGAGATGAGATCCATTCTCGGGACACCCTCAGCGCATGACTCACCGGAAAATCCGAGACAGGCGATGAAAGTGCCGTTGGGTCGCCCAAGGTCGCGGAGCAAAGGCCGTCTCGGCGGCGTGGACATTGTCAGAACTAGGGACTCCCGACTGTGCTTGGTGGGGTTGGCTCGCTGTAATGAGGCCCGAGGACGCGGGGTGAGTGACACTAAGTAAGGTACCTAGAGAACGGGCACAGCTCGCAGCGGGTCCATGGTGGGGGTTTCAAGGGGCTCACGGTGCAGTGAATGAAACCTATGGAAGTGATCTGGGGGAAGGGACACTGGAATGGACAGACACCTTCCGGGGATGGCACCTTGGACGACTCAATCATGACCTTACCTAGGTTGAGTAGGTAAGGCAGCCCGGTAGCTTTGACGATGTTTTCTGACAGAACGTCACGATGCCTGCGCATTCTTTGCTACCTACCTACCTACCTACCTACCTATCTCAAGGTGCCTTCGTAATGGCAAGAAAGGGTAACAAAAGTATGGATACTCACCGGCCTCACCTAAGTTTAGGTACTTAGTACCTAACTTACGTACCAACTTGGGCATCGTGACTCGGTTCGTCGGTGCTCCAAAGAACCGGCCTCGCTGCACATTAACCCCTCGTGCGCCTCCCGCGTCTCCGCCTCCTCCACCGCCGTCACCACAGCACCACACGGTCGTCCGCAGCTACAAATACTCTGCTGGTCAGCCACTCGCCCACCCGTGTCAGAACGCATTCGCTCCGAGCCGGAAGAAAGTCAACAAACCATCTTGCACGCCATCAATCTGAAGGAGGCTACGATCGATCTTGTCTAACCCCTCCGGCTTCTCCTCACCCGGGTCGCGGTCCCCTCGCCGTCGAACCAACTAAATCCTCCGACACCCTTGCCGCCCAAGACAACCCCGCACCCGACATAAAATCAACCTCACCTCCTCCGGCTTCTGTGCGACGTCCCGGACTATTGCGCGGGCAATTGACAACAATATGACTCCAACCAACCTTCTCGCCGGCAAGACCGCCATCATCACTGGGGGTACCACCGGTATAGGACGTGCCATCTGTCTTGAATACCTCAAACAAGGAGCCAATGTTGTCGTCAACCACCTGGGCCTTGAGAAGGACCAACCTCATCTCTATTCTCTCGAATCCGAGGCAGCTTCTTTGAGAAAGGCGAACTCTGACGCCGGACGCTTCGCTCA